CATCACCTAAAATTAAAATTATATTATGTATTTATTAAAAGATAATTAGGATATATATAATAAGTTATAAAGTAATTAATAAATGTTATAGTAGGAACTATTTTTTTTGAAAGTGTAGGTGAATTAAACATGTATAGATGATAATTGTAAAAGCTGAGATGATACAATTAAAAACATAAATGAATTGCAAGGATGTAAATGGTCTAAAGACCGTTTACCTAAATACTTACCCGATAAACACTTATCGGTAAAATTCAACACTATCGCTAACTTACCGAGTAAGATTTTATTTACTAAAACGCATCGTATGCAACAATTTATCCCGGTAAGCGCTATCATGATAAGAGTCCTCGTTCTCACTTACCGGGTAAAACTCTCGATTTTTGCCTTCGCTCTTATCGGGTAAAATTATTAGTTATTGTCATATTCATCTGGTAAAATAAAGTGACTTGGTAAGCACTTACCCCGGATAAGTATTTGATAAACAACATCTAAGTCTTTTTTTTTACTTTTTTTAATAGGTAAATGTAACAACCCCTATATTTTATTAATTGATTCCTTTTAAAAAAATCATTAACCACATCAAATAAGATATATATTTTTAAGAATGTTTTCTAACTAAAAGACTAAACAAGTAGTAATACATGGTTACGTCGTCGTTTAAGCTACCTCGAGTATTGTGACCGTTATATGATTTTAAATGCGCAAGTGAAAGCCACGCGTCCATTACTGGTCCGTATGTACAAATTCTGGGAGACTCTGCCACCCTTCTCGTGCTCTCATGTTCTTCCCTTCACCCCCAATTTTGTCTCTTTCTCCTTTTCACCCCCATCTCTCTTTACTTCATCATTCTCTCTCCATTCTTGCTTGATTGATTTCACTTAAACCCTACTTACAACCCATTTCGAAACGATTTCCATTGATGATATCAGAGGTATGTATTCTCTTCTTTGATTCTGTTCTTGTAGAAATTCCTTGTTTTTGTTAGGGTTTTCTTCAAAAAGGTTTTCCACTTTTGTGTTTGTAAGAATCTGGAAAGATTTTTGAATTTTAAAGGTTTTGATGATGGAATCGGAGGTATGTGCAATGTGGGTTTTTGTTTTTGTTGATGGAAATTGGAATAAACCCACAGAAATAATTGTCTGTGGTTTTGATTCAGGAACAAGATTCTTATTCTGGGTGGGAAAAAGTTGCGACTTTTTGTAGAAAGTTATGGAATCTAACAACTGTATCTTGTGTTTTAGGAAATTTTTTGTTGATTTAATTGAAACCCTAGAGAGAAGATTGGTTGAATCGAAATGGGTTGTGCTCAATCCAAGATTGAGAATGAGGAATCTGTTTCTAGATGTAAGGATCGCCGGAATTTTATGAAGGAAGCGGTGACGGCGAGAAATACTTTCGCTTCTGGCCATTCTGGTTACGCTATGGCTTTAAAGAACACCGGAGCTGCTTTGAGTGATTATGCACAAGGGGAAGCTGATGAAGTCTACCATCCCCATTTGGGTGGTGGTGGTGGTGGAGGCGTCGGAGGTGAATCATCGGAGCCGCCACCTCCTCCACCGCCAATCATGGAGCATCATCTCCCTCCACCTCCGCCGCCGTTACCTACATATTCCCCTGTTCCGCCGCCAATGCCTAGCTTTTCACCGACACCAACTCCACCGCTACAGCGGTCGGTTACAATGCCGGCGATTCCGGTTACCAAAAAGGGCGGTCGGAAGATGAATAACGGAGCCATACTTGAGGAAGATGAAGAGGAAGGGGAGGATGAGGAGGAAGAAGATAATGTTATTGATTTAAGAGGGAGGAAAGGGCGGAAGAGTGGCGGCAGGATGGCGGCAGAGGACGATGCTCCATCGCCTCTAACTCAAACTCCGGTTGCACCACCACCACCGCCACCGGAGAGCGATAAGATGCCTTGGGATTACTTTGATATGGGCGGTATGCCTTGGACCCATTTGAATGAAGAATACGATGAGGGTATTGACGAAAAAGACGAGGAGGAAGAAGTAGAGGAGGAGGAGCAAATGGACGGTGCACACCACCACCTCCACCACAACAACCACCATCTCCACCACCATCAGGTGGAGCCGAAAACTCCTGAGAAAGTGGTGATGGAGGGATTTACAACGGAGGAAGAGGAGACACCGGTGATGGCCAAGGATAGGCAATTCACACATTCTAATACGGCACCACCAGATATTAACCGGAGAGGAGGCGGCAATGGCGGTGGTGGTGGCATGGTTGTGGGGTCAAGCAGTGTCAATTTGTTGAAGATTTTTGGAGACATCGATGATCATTTCTTGAAGGCTTCTGAGAGTGCACAAGAGGTATCAAAGATGCTCGAGGCCACACGGATGCATTATCACTCAAATTTTGCCGATAACCGTGGTAACAATCCGCTCTTTTCCTTGCGTATATAATTAGTTTGTTTGATCATTGTGCTCCGAAATGAATCAAAACTACCCTTGTAATGAATAAGACATGGGCAAATAGGTAAATTCACTTGAAATACATTCTGAAATGTCTCAATTCTTGCATGTTTTGAGGGACTGAACTAGGTCAAATTCACAAAGATTTGGGATTATGAATCTTGAATTCCTTGTTTCCTGTGGTCCATTTATGTTACTTACAACCTACATGATTCCGTAGATCACATTGATCATGCCGCAAGAGTCATGCGAGTTATCACATGGAACCGATCATTCAAAGGTGCGCCCAACGGTGATGGTGGTAACGAGGAGTATGATGACAAGAATGAAACCCATGCCACCGTGCTTGATAAGCTTCTAGCATGGGAAAAAAAGCTCTACGAAGAAGTTAAGGTGCGTCTCAATATCTTGTTATGGTTACCCAAGGACAAAATGGTAATTCTAGACTGAATCTGTGAGGCAAAAGAAAATGTTGCATTTGTTTTGGTTACTTCGTGTTTATAGGTTATCAATGTTTCGTATGCGGTTGCGAAAGGACAAAATGGTTGTTTTAGATTGAGCGAATGCTTGAAAGGAAAATGTTGCATTTATTTTGGTTGCTTCGTGTCTATAGGCTGGGGAGCTTATGAAGCTCGAGTATCAGAGGAAGGTTGCGTTGCTTAACAAACTGAAAAAACGTGGTGCGAGTACGGAATCTTTAGAGAAAACAAAGGCAGCGGTAAGTCATTTGCATACGAGATACATCGTTGATATGCAATCATTGGATTCAACGGTTTCAGAAGTGAACGACATTCGAGATAAGCAGTTATATCCAAAACTCGTGACTCTTGTTGACGAGTAAGTTCTGATCGTTTTCCGGTATTTTGGTTTTGGTTTCTTAGAACGATGTTAAAGAGATCTTGTGGACTCTAATCAGAACTCGAACTTTTACTTTAAACATGCAGGATGTCGAAGATGTGGGAGGCCATGTGCACTCATCATGAAAACCAGTTAACGGTTGTTTTGGATCTCAAATCGCTTGACGTCTCGGGTGCACCGAAGGAGACGACAAAACACCATTACGAACGAACCATCCAGCTCTATCACGTGGTTCAAGGGTGGCACTCGCACTTTGAAACGCTCGTAACCCATCAAAAACGTTACATCCAAGCCCTCAACAACTGGCTAAAACTAAACCTCGTGCCCATCGAAAGCAGCTTGAAGGAGAAAATCTCATCACCGCCAAGAATCCAACATCCACCGATCCAAACCCTCCTCCATTCATGGCACGACCACCTCCAGAAGCTTCCGGATGAGCTCGCGAAAAGTGCGATTTCATCATTTGCTGCCGTTATCGAGACCATCATGAACCATCAAGAGGAAGAAATGAAGCTCAAGGAGAAATGGGAGGAAACTAGAAAGGAGTACTTGAGGAAGAACCAGGCTTTTGAGGATTGGTGTCAGAAGTATGCAATGAGGAGGGGCCCACAAGATGAAACCGATCCGGACCGCATATCGGGGACGGATCCTAACGATCCGATTTCCGAGAGACGGTTTGTGGTGGAGACATTGAAGAAGAGGCTTGATGATGAAATTGAAGCTCATCAGAAGCTGTGTGTTCAAGTGAGGGACAAATCATTAGGGAGTCTCAAGATTCGGTTGCCCGAGCTCTTCCGAGCGATGTCCGATTACGCTCACGTTTGTCGGGATTCGTATAAACGGTTGAGATCAATCGTGCATTCGCAGAATCACCCGAACGGAAATTAAGTTGTTTCGTGGCTCATCTTATGGTTCTATGATCATGTTGTATCCACAGTTTTTCACAATGTGGACCGATGTACCCTGAAAAAACTCTCCGAAAATCGCCCCTTTTTTTGAACCAATCGATCCGTTCGGCATCGGGTTTAGAGGGCAAAATTGGAATTTGGAAGGTGCTTTTTGATGCATTGTTGGCTTGTACTTTACTTTGCAAATTGTAAGGTTGGGTAATGCATTTTGAAATGGGGGATGTTTTTATGCATTGATGGTGTGTACTTGATGCATCAGTGACTTGTACATTTGTGGTAGCATATTATAATAATGTGGGTTTCTATGCCTTGTTGGGTACAAATGGCGAAATGTGCTTTTAGGGTGTCAATAATTTGACATGCATTACCCACTTTTGGGACCACAAGCAGTATTCTTTTGTGAAATGTCTAAAAGATATGTCAGGTTCCGTTTATCTAAATACTTATCCGGTTCCGTTTATCTAAATACTTATCCGGTAAGCATTTATCAGTAAAATTCAACATTGTTGCTTGCTTAGATAAGTTATTCACTAAAACGCATTGTATGCAACAATTTATCCCGGTAAGCGCTAACCATGGTAAGAGTCATTATCCTCACTTATCGGGTAAAACTCTCGATTCTTGTCTTCGTTCTTACCAGGTAAGATTTTTAATGATTGTCATATTCATCCGACAAAGTAAAGTGATTTGGTAAGCCCTTATCCAGGTAGACGTTTGGTAAACACACCTTAATGTCTAAAAAGTATGTTAAAGGGTTGTGTTAAATGCTTAGATCAATATTAAGAGTTATTTTTTGTATTTTTAATGTATTATTTGATTTAATTATGAAATTTTGAAATTATATAGCATCACCTATAGAAAATGAAAATGATGAGAGTTTATTTATTATGATTTGAATATTTATGAAAGATGACTAAGCTTCATTAATTATGACTTTATATTATGAAACAATCAAAATTTTTATAAAATCACATATTTATCAAATTAAATGGACAGTTGAGATTGAGTTGTATTGGTTGTACAAATGTAAATGGTTGCATAATTCATGTCTCTTTCTCTCTCTCTATATATATATATTGATTAAAAGGTTAATATATTCAGATGTTTTTTATTATTTATTATAATATTAAATATGGTTTTTATTGTTTATTTAGTGTATGGTTGAAGTTGTTTTTTAGTGTTTAATGTTATTTTTTAATGGTCGGGTTGAAGATGCACTAATAAAATGGAAATTTTTGAAGTATTCGTTAAATTTGGAGAAAAATGCGTTGTCTCTTGTTTTGTTCATTTTGAAGAAACTATTAGAGAATAAAAACTCCAAAAGCTTTATTTTTCTATTCTAGAGAATTTGTTGGAGACCCTCTGAAAATAGAAAGAACCGAGATAGTCTCATCCAGTGGAACAAAGGTACTTCCAGAAGACATGTCTATGGTTGCTTCCTCAAGGCCATCCGGAGTTTTACCAAAAGAAGAAATAATCTCAAACCAAAAGCTTTATTTTTTTCCCCTTCTGAATTTTGATAGTTTACCGATAGCTCGTTGATGGTGTTTTTGGTATGTGGGACAGGACAATATAGCTGAACAAAAACCTGTCCCACATTTGAAAAATTTCTTTTAGTGTTTCTGAGAATGGAAGGAAAAGAAGGAAAAAGAACGAAATAAAATAAATTTTCATGTTTTGAACAGAAAAAAAGAAAAGGAAAGATGTTATTTTTACAAATATACTCTTATTTATTTACCAGTGGTATATAATTGATGGGTAGATGTGTAATTTTATAAATATTTTTAATTATCATAAATTCTTTTATTTTCTTTCGGTTTACTTTTTTGGTTCTCTTCTTAAAAAACTCGAGAACACAGTATTTACCTCAAAATCCAAACCAATTTTTTTTGGAAAACTTGTACATGACGCATGAAAAGATGTACATTCAAACTTTGATGATTGTAGCCACCAAACGAACGTTTCTTTCGGCGGCATGCGCTTTGGAATATTTTAAGCCGAGTATTTAGAGTTTGCTTCAGCCACTCAGCTTTATGAAGCCGCATAGCTCAAAGCTCATTCTTTATTTGCAAATTTAAATCAAACCATAATCAAGATCTCATCATAAATTCGTTAAAATGTTATAGTTTTGTTATCTTTTTGCTTTTTGTTATTTATTTATTTAAAAAATATAGGCAAGCCGAGCCATTGTTAAAAGCTTGGCTTCCTACCTCTATAAGATGGCTTAAGAAATAAAATCCCATATCTTCAATGTGTTTATATATATATATGAACAAATGCATCTTCAAGATTTCTTCTACTCCCTTTTGTTGCAATGGACATTGGAGGAATGCGGAAATCCCGAAGCCGGAATCTACGATTGAATCCGAGTTGTTCTCTGAAGGAATCAAGTTCCGAGTCAAAGCCGATTTGGACGAGTTTATGGAGAAAGATCGTAAAACAGTATGATGTGAAGAAAAAGAAGAAGATGACTTGTTACGACTGCTCGTATGATTGGGAGGGTTATATGCAGAATTTTGACCAAGGGTCCGAGAAGGGTAACGTAGATTTTCTATGTCGGTCTTTTTCCGCTCGGTTTGCTAATCCATCATCGAAAAATTTGATGGTATAATTGTATGTGCATTGAAGTTAAATTCTAATGGATTACATGAGTTACTATCGTTTAGAAATTTTCATGTTGAAATAATTGGTTTCATATGTGAAGATGTGTAACATCGTTGTTTCATATGTGAAACGTTGATAACCATTTTATGAAGAGAAAAGAAGAGTTCTAAATGTTTCACATATAAGGACAATATTTTTATACGCGTTGTTCGATATTTGAAACAATATATGAAAAATGGTTTGTAAGTTTGTACGGATTATTGAGTTTATAAAAAAATACAGTCTTTTTAAAATTATTTTTGCAATGTCTATATCCGAAACTTAACGGGTCAATCCGGATCCACCCAGATTTTTTAAAATGGTTGTTTAAACTAGGAGCATTCATCCAAATCATCAAACCGCATAAACCGCAATGTAAAGTGCGGTTTAGAAATTCCGTTGTGCAGTTTTATGGTTTGATATTTACCACACCTAATTATGCGGTGTGGTTTACGATTTTGAGTTATTAAACCACAATTCAAACGGCAAGCACATTTGAGATATATATATATATATATATATATATACACACACATATACATATATATAGTTGAGTTCACATGAGACCATCATGTTTTCATGAGACCCGTAAGACCATCTTTTTACACTTGAAACTTTACAGCAAAACATTGTTAAGGTAAAAAAACGAACTTTCACAGCAAAAACACTATGAAGATTACCTTCACAACGTTTTGCTGTGAAGTTTCAAATGTAAAAAAAGTGGTCTCACGAAAATAGGCTGGTCTCATGTGATCTCAAGTATATATATAGAGGTCTAATCAAATGAGAACTAGATAGTTTGTAGTAACTGTGAAATCCAATATGAGCCAATTATTTTAGATTACTTTTAGTTATATAATATTTCTAGTTGTCTTGGACTCTTTTTAATCACGTAATAGTTTTAGTTTTCTTATACTATTTTTAATTAAGTAATATGTATTTGAAAATCAGATGCATTTAAACCGTTTATTTGTCTGGACTACGCTCACGTTATCATTGATTTTATAATAAAATTTTAATCTTATAATTATTGAATTATAAGTGCAAAGTGCTTTAAGTACGAATCGCATAAACTACATCGTATTTCGCCGTGCAGTTTTTTTCACGGTTTGATATATACGCCTTGCGGTTTATGGTTTGAGAAAACGTTCAAACCGCACCACAGATACCCTTAGTTTAAACCCACTTTTTCTTGGTGAACTAAGCAGGACAAGCTTCTACGTTCATAGATTTCGGTCAGACCAAGTGGTCATTTGTAACCAAGGTTAAATTACATAATAAACTTTAGTCTCAAGATGAAGAAGGTTTCCGATTGCAATCTAACAAAAGGAGAAAACCAAAATTAACATCTCAAACAAGTAGTACTAAAACAGACAGACATATGAAGCAGGTAATTTCATGCCATTATCTTGGCCGATCTCACAAACAAGCTGTCGACGACCTTGCCCATGTTTTGAATGGTCTCGAGCGTTGCAGGAAAGATTGCATCCGTCTTTGGATCGTCAAAGATGATGAGACACCCAACACCCTGGTCCAGTGTTCCAGCAAATTTTTTGTCCAATATCATCTGTGACAATTTCTTCTCCACATGCTCCACTGGAAGCTCAATCAGACTCGCAATGTGACCTATCTCGACCCTTGAGAAAGGTTCGATTAACCTGCACAAGTTTTTAGCACAACTCAATCACCACACCAATTCCTTGAAAAATGAAATAATTAGAACAAAGACCAGTTAACAATGTACTATATAACGTTAAGCAATTTCACAGATATATGATTACTATCAATGCAGATAGTTCATTTAGGAACCGTAAATATTTTAACAACTGTGGAACCAACCATTAATGATGAATATACACGAATATTATTCATCTTGAATATCGAGCATTTTCATTCATGAATATACATGAGAATCGCCTGTTCATGATAAATCTACATGAATATCATGCATTTAGGCATGAAAAATGCATGAAATAGTTCGTTCTGAGGTTCACAAAATATTTATGGTTCTCATTTACCCCTCCCCCTTCGACAAATATATGATTACTATTGATGGGAAAAGTTATTTTAGAAAGAGCAAATGTCTCGAGAACCGTGAGAACCAAATATTTATGATGAATATATATGAACATAAATCATCATAAATATCATGCATACAAATTCATCGATATTTATTGTGAATAGTTGGTTTTCACGGTTCTCAAAATATTTATGGTTCTCAAATGAAACTATAATAATAATGATAATGACAACCATGATCAAAATCCTAACCTGCACAAGTTTTGCTCCAACAATGTGTCATAGAGGGATGAAAGGTGCCTATGAACAATAGGGTCTTCATCTAACTGAGCCTTGAAATCCTGAAGGGCAGTTTCGAACAACTTTAACGATCTTTTTGAATAAGCATCAGCAACAGCTTTCATCGCATCAAGTTCTGGGCCTAAAAACTTCAAAGCTTTCGAAGAGATTATTCCAGCCACATCATCGGCCTGGTTCACCATGATCTTGCATAGCAACATATACTTGAGACTGTACACTGCTCTCGGATCATCAAGGGCATTAAACGCCTCAAAAGCTTCAAAGAAATAACTATATGCTGTTTTATAATCCTTCTCTTCAGCATGAAGAATTCCACTCTGCAAATCGATGGTTCCTTGTTGAGCAGGAGGAACGTAGATTGCATTAGCAGCGGTTCTAGCAGCCGTAAGTGCAGCTTTTGCCTTTGGAAGGTTTCGCAATGAAAAGTGCAGTTTGCTTTCCAATAAGTCGATATCAACAAGAAGCAATTTGTCATCCAATCTCCTAACCTCTTTTACTAAGCCAGAAAGGAGGGTTAAAGCTTCTGAGTACTCCTTGCTATCCATTAACAAAGCAGCAAGCCTTGCCTCAACTCGTTGCCTCAAGAAAGTACGTTTTTCAGACCGGGTCCATTCCACCATCTCCTTGCACAGTGATATCTGAAGATCGGTGCTGTTTGGTATCTTTGCAACTGAGTCTATGATTCCCCTTACGATTTTCGCGGTTTTAGCTTTGGGGATCAATGCAAAGAATGGTCTCAATGTGGTCAAAAGGCCACGGAGATCCTCTCCTCTGTTTTCCTCCCTTAGGAGTTCTGAGAGTTTTGCAATTGCCTGTTCTTTAACCCGGAGTGCTTCAGAAGAAGCTGCAGGGTTATCTAGGACCCGATAGAGTATGGTGATCGCTTCAGGTCGACTTTTGGCTTCTGAAGCCAGATCAATTGATTCTGTTGTGGCTGGAAGATATGATGTCGACATATCAACGCTGAAAACTACATCAAAGCAATAAAGAATTATGATAAAGGAGATGAAATCGAACTTCGATCATAGAGATGGCATGAAACTAGATCAAGTTTATTTTAAGCATCTAAAGATATTTAATTTAACTAATCCAAACCAAATGAACGAACCAAGTATATCCCACCTGGAGGTTGTTTTTTTTTGGGGGGGAGGGTGTATGCAGACCTGACCTCTTTTTGTTTGTCTGCTACCGTCTACTCATATTGTTACAAGGACACCAGAGTTTAACATATGATATCAACGACCTAGCAACAGCTCAATTTTTATATTACCAAATGGCTACAAAACTTGATCCACCACAAGCTACACAAGTAATTATCATTCTCGCAACAGTTTGGTTTCATAACAATGTGACCTAAAAAAGTAGGCATGAGACACATTGCAACATCAGAAAAACAAAATTCAAGAGTCATATCCAAGAAAATAAGAAACATAAAGTTAGGAGTTGTTGCATGATAGCAATAAAGAACGGAATTTGCTAATGAAAATCCTGTGAAGAACCCTAAAGTGCAACTCAGATCCAAATCTTCAACAGCATGATTTACTCAAATCCAAAGAAGAAAATTCTTGCAAATTTGTGACAGAAAAGTACCTCAATATACAGAACAGATAAATTTTCATTGAAAACAATAGGAAGAAGCTCTAAGAATTGATATAAAGAAATGTCAGAAAACTAAGCAACCGAGCATACAACAAAACTAGCCATAAATAGTGCATTAACTGGATTTGGATAAATTCTGTGTCCAAAAAAAACCCTAAAACCCCAAAATGAAAACAAGAACTGAACTAAACTAGACGAATGAAACTTGAGTAAACCATTCATACCAGATCAATCTCAAGGGGAAAAACACTAAGAAATCCTAAAATCAAATATCGCATCAAATTCGAAAATAATTTACGCAAAAGCACCCAAATTTACTTCCAACGGAGTGGAGAAACATAAACATAGGCATGAATTAGCTGTGCGCGCAAAAACCCTAACTCCTAATTCAAGTTAACTACATACCATCAAATCGACAAACACTAAGAACCCATAGATTAAAATAAAAACTCTTTGATGAAATCAAGATAGAGAAAAATCAAATAGAAGGAATACCGGAGCGTATCGACGATTGAGATCGGAGGAAAACACTGACGCCGGAGAGTTTCGTTGCGTGTGTGAAGGAATAAGAAAGAGATTTGAGAAAGAAGTCTTGGAAGAAAAGAAAAGGCTCCCATTTAATTCACTTTTTCATAGTTTGGCCACTAAATTTTCTCCATATTTCTAATTAACCACTTTAATCATTTTTATTTGACAATTTTAGTCATATTAACCTGTCTATTTGTGAAATAATTATGTTGGTGCAAATGTAGATTCATGTTTTGTTTGAATTTACATTTGTCATCCTTTGTATATCGATGATCGATAAACCGTCACTTATGTATTACTGATATGGAAGCCCAAAGACTTTTAAACTTGCGTTTTTTAGAGGGTTTAAACGAGACGTTTTTGGATGAAGAGAGAAAATACGACGCATATGTGATCCCTTGAGTATACGTGATCCATCATTAGTATGTGATCAAAATGTATCTTGTTTGTGTACAAAAATTCCTTAAAAATAGACAATTAATTTGTCAATTTGAGTAACTTGTTAAAAAGTGTCTTCAGTTGTATTGGTTTTCTTCTTTACGATTAAGGTGCGTTTGGTACACTGGATATGATATAACAGAAGAGAGATCATTGTTCCACGTTTGACAGTTTTTTTATGTGAAAGAAACATAGTTGTGACAACCCACCTCATGGAACAAGGTGAAACAAACCTAACCTATATTTTACTCATATAACCTCAAAACAAAACTCAATTCTCTTTTAAAACATCAAATCCGCATTTCTCTTACATTTTTTCTAAATTTTATTAATTGTGTTTTGTATTTTTTAAACTTCCACTTTATTGTCCTTCAAATATTATTTTTATTTTTGAATTATCGTGCAATTCTTTTAATCCGCAAACACCTTTATAAATTAGCATTGTTAATTACGGTGGATTTGTTAATCTTACGCTAGTACTTCCAAGAACGAAAACCCATCAAGAATCATGAATTTTTTGAAAACCCCGACCATGATTTTATTCGACTCATAAATGTCAAACTACAAGTAAAATGCAAGAACATTTATAAATTAAAATCTACTTTACTCAAGTTACATGACATCCATGTCGCTTTTCCAAGTAACGAATCTAAAACCATCCCAGTATATCCCCTCACTCACTAAGGTGGGATGAATGCAGACTTGATATCTATCCCAAAGAGTAAAACAGTTGTTTCCAGTAACAAATCCTTTTCTATCAAATTGTTTTAAAGAAAAAATTAGATTCAGACTGCTGCTGGTTTGTTGGCTCCATGCTTACAAGGTGGAGCTCCTTGGCTTTGGTTCTTCAAATCATTTCCAGCCACCAAAAAGTATGCAGTATGCCTGCAAAAGAGAAGGGCATTTTGGGAACAAAAATATGTTAGTAATAGTACAACCAGGCAATGCATTTCAAGAATTGAAAAGTACAACCATGCAATGCATCAAGGGAGTTCTACTTCTACCTGAAGAAATTTAGCATTCTTGTCTTTGAGTCTTGATCAATGTCTGTGGTGTTATCTAGTGCTTGTTGCATGTGGAGTAGCCACCTCTCGGCCGCTTCATGAGTCACCGGAAACGGGCGGTGGCGGCCAATCAGAGCAGGATGGCCTGCAAATAATCATTTCAAAGGTCATACATAAAACAAGTATACTGCTTTTCTTCCGCTACTAGTAGTTGTCAGTACTATGCTCTGTGTTTTCTTTTGTTTAACCTATTTTCCTCACATCTGTCATTGATGCATTTTTCTGTTAACTGTAACTGTTGCTTATTTGCACGCACGCACTCTCGCCTTGCTTCTTTTCATTTTTGTTTTGCAGGGTCTTCATGGAAACAGTTTCTACACCCCTTAGGGTAGAGATAAGGTCTGTGTCCATCCGAACCCCTAGACCCCATCTCTGTGTGGGACTTACTAGTTGGTTTGTTAATAAAACAAGTATACTACAAGGAAACCCCTAGAGCCCTTGGTCTTGAGAGACTCGAATCAAGTCCCAAGGTCTCAGACTGAGTCCCTGAGGTCTATAACCCTTATTGACCTTCTGGTTGTAGGAGCGTTTTGCAGTGGCCGACCATATAACAAGAGAATGATCTGAATATGCCGTTGGGCAAGCGGATTCACATCTCTTACAACCGACACAATCCTCTGTTCTTGGAGCAGAAGCTATGTTGTTTGGCCAAAGATATGCTAAAGTATGATTACCTTTCCTTTGAGAGTAGAGAGGAGGCCCTCCCATTCTTTGCACGAAAAACTCGTATTGATTCTGAATTGCATCTTCCTTCTTCGAGTTGGCAAAAATGGACCTAAACCACTCTTCTTCATCATCATAAACCCTAATTGATCATTCAAAGATCAAAACCCTAGTCGTTATATCATTTCAAGATGAACATAGATCTTGTTTATGTCACCATAAATACAATGTTTTGAAGTGAGAATCCAATATCCAACTAGTACTCTTCTGATTTTGACTTTGTAGTCAAACAAGCGGTGGTTTGGGATTTGAAATTATGCATAACAATTAATAATTAGGGGCAAACAAGATTATTATAACAAATTAAACAAAGAGTTTAAGCCAACATAAACAGGATTAACACAAAAACAACTCTTTATTTCATAGAAATCCTGGATTAAGAGACGACCATTTTGACTTCAAAAGTCAAAATGCATATCTTGATTTGAAGAAAGGTAGTATCAGCTAAAAAGCTTCAACCAATCATTCAAACATATTCACAAATGAATATATGAACAGTAAAGCCATGCATTTGAGGCCAAACCTGTTGCTTTTCAAATTCTAAATTGTTTCCAGTTTTCTCAAACACCCATCAATTGAATCAGCAAGAATCCTCAGATAGCATATAAAATGACGAATTTAAAGAAAAATAAGTGGGAATTTTAACCAAAATCCGTCAACTGAATTAGCAAGAATCCTCAGATAGCATGTAAAATTACGAATTTAAAGAAAATTAAAGTACGATTTTATCGAAAACCCATCAACTGAAACAAATACCTTGTATAGAAATCGGTGGAGAGATCGATGAAAGTCTGAAGCCCTAGCTTGTCGAAAAGATTGATCTCGTCAATGGCGAAGGCATCTTGCTGGTCAACGCCACTCCACTCTGACGCCTTCTGTTGCAGGGTCTGCATATCGAAATGCAATGGAAGATGGGTGTGGATGGGTGATTGTATTTATAGGCTCGTGGGGCAAACGCTTTTTCTTGGAACTACACACAGAACAGAAATGGGGGTTTTCATGAATCCATGGGCTGCTTCTTGATTCTATTCTCTTCTTTCAAGATTGATAGGAACCGGATTCCATTTTGTATAAACAATGAAAAGAACACGGCATGACAATCGTGGGATAAATTGAAAAATATTTTTGATAGTAATTTTTGTTGTATACTTGATATTTATAAATTATAATGAATGGTATTCATCTAATGCAATAAAATATATTTCGATTTTAATGTTTTGTTTTATAATATTTTTTTAAATGTTATTATATGGTTTTGAGAAAAGGATAATATTTTTATTTTTGAATAAAATATAAATAA